CACCAGGGCAATACTGAGAGTATGCTATTTTCCTCCAACGCTAAGACAACGCTTTGAAAGTCAGCTTCTTAAACATCGTCTCGGTGTTCGAAATATATTTATCAACTTATAATTGATAATCAACCAATTGATTCTTTTGTCCACGACTCAGAGAAAGAGCCTTTTTATATTCGAATCGACCTCATGATTATCGCAAGTTAGCTTTTGTCACATACATAAGTTTTAATATACCCGTAAGTTTTAAATATATCCATATGGAATCATCACGTGGAGTAAAGACAGTTAACAAAAGGATGTAGTAAAAATTAGTTCCAGTTTTTGGAAGGTAACAATTCAAAAAATCAAAACAGAAATCTTGACGTCTTGATGTGACTAAAAACAAATTAAGCAAGTAATTCAGAAACATGAAATTGAAATTCTTCTTCTAAATTCTTGGACCTGCTGCAAAGGTTTTGTTTTAAGATTTTGTTACAAATGTGGTTTCTCCTGACCGAGAGAGTTGTCTCAATTTCAAAACCTATGTAGTCCACAAAAAAAAAATTTAAAAAAATTTTAAAAAAATGTTTCTTTGCGCAAACTTGAGGCTAGATGGCTTAGAAAACCTCTATTTTTCCTTTCTTTTAAGAATTTTGAGAAAGCTAGGAAGGAAGAGCTGAGTTTTCTTACTTTTCGTGCAAAATAGTCGATTTGTTGACATGTTTTAAAATTTATTCACGAGGTGTTATTTACGTAGAAGCTATATTTAATTAATCGCAGGCGACCCGAGAAAAAGCAAACGATTAATTCGTAAAAGCGTCACGCGTTGTGTGACTCCATGTTAAGTTACGATAGGAACCGTTGAGAATTTAAACACATTATAAGGAATAGTATGGGAACGAAATAAGGTCGATTTTCAACGATACATATTCCAAATATGAACATTCCACACGCAAAATCGATAGAAGACTGTCAAATTAACATAAACATTACAAAACGTTAAGTTGATAAGCTGATGTTTGTTTCAAACTTATTGCAATGGAGATGTTGAGAAAGACGTTATGCTTAGCAAATCTTTTCGGAAAGTCATTTTAAATTTTTTCAAGGTGATTTAGTATATTTCGGATATATTTTGTAAAAATATGACTAATTTTGAACCAACTTTGAAACTTATTAAATTTAAAATCAACATTCTGTCTGGTTTAACAAGTGTAGAGTGGTTTCAATGCAGTGTTTCTTTATTCAGTGAACTCGATTTTCAATACCGTACTCGGCAAAGCCTCGTGCGGTATTGAAATTACTCGTTCATTGTTAATGAACACGTGCAGATTACTCCCGATAATTTACCCACTGAGTGCCTTAAACTGTAAATAGTAAACTTTATTTATACACGAGAACTTTGCCGAACTGGGAAAGTTCGTTACAAAAATGAACGTGTACCCGATCGTATTAATATCGTATTAACATCATTAATAGTATTAGTATTTTTTTTTCCGTTTCTCTGAAAGTTCAGGCATCTCTAAGAAAATAGCAAAGTAGTTGCTCCTTGGTTATGGAATCAATTGCCTCTTGAACTCTGGAGTGTTACCTCTGTTGACCAGTCCAAGATGCAGTTGAAGACACTTATTTAAATTGACTTATGATGTCTAGTTTTTAGTAGTGTAGTTTAGTTAATTTCATTATAATATTAGCTTTTGTATTTTATAATTTACCCTTTGTTGTACAGCGCTTTGAGCAATTAGTGAACACAGCGTCTAAAAAGTGTTTTTATCATAATTATCATTATCATCCATATAATTATTATTATAGTTATTGATATTATTGGGTCGTGAGCATGATTTGGATCACCTAACCAATTAGATCTTCTTTGGCTTTTGCAAAATCCTTTTAACAGTCGAAAAAATATTTCTCGCCTTTCAGGGCAGTTACCGTCGAATCTTTGATGTGATTTTTTTAGATAGTGAAAATGATGCGTTTGGAGAAACGCAGGAGGATTAAATGTTGTAGGAAGAAAGCTTATTTACTGCAATTCATTCATTTTATATCTCACTTTCTATTCTCATTTTTACTAATCTGCCCTCTTTGAATGACGTGTTCGATTCACAAGCCTTTTGCTTAGAAATTTCTTTTGGTAGCATTGTTGGGGTTCTTTGGTAGCTGATGGTTTTCCCACGTCAAACTTCTTCTCTTTGCACTTTTCAGCGGCCTCCTTCGCTTTTTTAAGCAGTTTTGCATATTCAATAGCTTCTTGATCAAAGACTCTTTTTCCGACAGTGGTACATGTCAGGTTTCTTCAACAGTTCGATATTTCACCTCCTTTAAACGTTTCTTTATGAAATTTTCAGTTTCTGTTTCACTCCCTTGGCTATCTCGGCATCTGCATGATCTCCTAGGTTCTCGACGATCATAATGTCGTAAACTAAATATCCTGCAGTATAAATTTCTTGTGCTCTTTTCTCGAGGTCCATTACCTTGACTCCTGAATCCCATTGTCTATAACATATTTACAACAGGATCGAACGGGATTTCTTGGTCAAACATCTTCTCCGTGCCTATAGAAAATTTTGGTCGTCCTTCCGCTTGTTCCTCACCGCAGTAGGGGGGAGGGGGGTGATTTCAAACCCCCTTGCTTCTTGTCACGTTGCGATGTTTTGAAAGGTTTCTCTCTTGAGCAAATAGCCTGCCACGTTGTCTACAAGATGATGTTAATATTACGGGATACATATGCAAATGACGCTGCTGGATGTTACTAACGCCATTCGACATGGATGATTTTTAAAAATAAATCACTTTTTTCACCATAATTTTTGGCTTGTCGGAAGAATAGTGGCTATCGAACTTGACAGGAAATTACTACGTCCCCAACCCGGTAAGTGAGAGGTTTTCAAAATAAGAATCAGTGTAATCCGTGATCCACTTCATCGATTGAACCGTGCGATAAAATTGTTCAGCAGAACCACGACTTCCGATCGAGACAAAGCTAGAGGCCACCACTAAATCACCACCACCACTGTATCAACTTAACAGTCTGATCCAGGTTATTCAAAAGATAACAAGTGTTCATTAATACTGTTTAATAAACAGCTACTTAGTCCTTGATTCGCTTACGTGCCATTGATCATTTTTTGTCCCCTCATATTCTTTATTGAAAGCTATTATTCTGTGCACATCAGAAATTGAAACATCGCTTTACAAAGTTTTAATAAGTGGGAACACTAAGCAGAAAGAGGCTTTTCTGTTTTTTTGTCTTATTTATGACCATCAGCATGTCCTAATTTTGTTTTGGCGATTAACCTCTCCCCCTCTTTTTTGCAAACGCAACTAAAACGAGTGAAACGTAACTGCAAGGCATTCACTATGAGAAAAGAATAAAGAAACTATTAGCGTTAAAAGTTTGGTTCGCCGCAAGTAGCTATCAAACCAGCCATTAATGCAAAAATTGATTCCGCCTCAAGGGATCCATTTGTTTACAACTGATTCCTTCCAGGGAACCATTTCTTTACAATTGATTCCCTCAAGCCAATCATTAATTCACAACTGATTCCTTCAGTGTTTTCATTTGGAGTACGGATGGAAAAGAACTTATTGATTTGGCATTTTACGGTTCATTGCAAATGATTCTATCAAAATCCCTGACACACGAAAAGCCCATTGTCCTCATTGTATAACAAGCTGTATCGTGCCCTCGCCTGCTATTTTTCTGTACTTGCTGTGCCCACTTTTCGAGTCTTTCAGTCCAAGTCCAAGCTTGCTCATCAAAAAACATATGTCTGTTCAAAGTATTACTAATTAATTGACGGAGCCCATCCATTTTTTCATCAAGATCGTCAGGTATTTTTTTCTTTCTCTGAGTGAAAGTTCTCGGAAAAGTCTGGCAATTTCATTCCAAGTCAGAAATTGAGAAATTTAAGGGAAAAGAAAAAATTCTCTATCGATTCAAGTACTTTCGAAGGTTTTAAAGGCACAAAATGTTAAAACACTGAATTGAGTTTCAATGGATAAAAAAATTGATTTAATTTTAGTGGTAGCTCATCCACATACTCATCTCTTTATCGATAAAATTCCGAAACCGGCTGGCGAATAACATTCATATACGACTCTGCTGTAACGTTGATCACTTGATAATAAAAGTGGGCGATTTTGGCTTGGCACGGACGAAAAGGATGATGCTTTAGATAAAGATTCACAAGATAACATCCTTAGGAACACTTGTAAGCCTCCGTTATTGCAAGGTTTGGGTTTCTCAGCTGATTTATTAAGCAGAGATCACAAGGTGTTCGTAGGTGGATGAAAAATGTAATTATTCGAAAAAGCAATGATAGAAAGGTTATCAAATGTCAATCATAGAAATTTTTGTCATCAATTTTTCATCGGTCCATACCTCTTGAAAATTATAAACATGCGCCTTACCCCGTGCACAAAGTTCCTGACACAAAAAGAAGGACGAACGGATACTTTCAGCCTAATTACATAACAACAGCGACTGACTTAATTTTAACTTTATCAAAACACTCTTTGCTCGACCGAAGAGGCAATTTAAGAGTCCTGGACAGCCATTAAGACGACATTTAATGGAGCTGTGGTTTTGGGTTTTCAGCTGGTTTCTTTACATTCTCACGATAGTTGGAAATGGATTTGTCATTTTCCTCGTCTGCAGAAAACGTCAGCTTCGCACTGAAACCAACACATTCATTGTGTCCTTAGCAGTGGCTGATTTTGCTTTGGGAGTGATTGCTGTTCCTTTGCGTTTTCTCTGTAACATGATAAACGAGTGTATCTCCAATAAAAATGCAAGCTTATCCGTGATACATGTGTGGGTGTTCATACTTTACGCTTCTAGAACAAACTCGTCTAGCTTAGTTCTGGAACGCTATATCGCCGTCGTGAAACCGTTCAAATATTTGACTT